TTTGAAAAGTATTATAGATATCGGATTTTCGATGAAGGCTTTGGATTAAGCAACAAAGTGACTCAAGTGGACATTATGATTATTTCAAGTCAGATAATAAACAAAAAATATATTTCGATTAAAATCTGAAAAAAGGTAGTAAAATTACACAAAAACTTCTATCCGCCGAGGTAGAGGTGCACTTTAACCATCGTAGTAGCAAAAAGTATGTCAGTTTTTGAGACATAGCTGATACTTTAAGAATACTTATATTAATAGCTATCCGTGCTTTTAATTTAGCAACGTTTATCCTAAGAATTTCCTTGAAAATGATTTCAAATAAGTTTTCGTCAAAAACTGTACTTATACGCCACTTTGTCAACGCCACCGATTCTCCATGTTCTATTAAACTTTAGGAATCGGTGAAGTTCAAATCGGGAAGTGGCAACACTGAGTTTCTGTAATCTGTGGACAGCGGCTTGACGAGCGGCTATATTTTTACAGTTGACATGTGAACGTCTGGTGTAGTTTGTGTACACAATTTTTTCAAGGTAAGATTTTTGTGCATTAAAAATTAAGTTTGATTGTTACACGAAAAACAAATAGTGCATCATGTTAGTAGAAGTGACAGCCATGTTTGGAGCTATAATGCAACTCAAATCATACTTTATTTACAGAGATATAAGTGGTTTTCTCAACGCAACGATAGCGTAGAAGTAGAAATACGCCACCATTTTGGTACTTCAACGCCAACGGTAGCGTAGATATTCGTCACCTCCTCTACGCCACCAAATAAAGGTAGGTATCCACTTGTTTTTATTATACTAACTTTTTACCTGGCTGCCGAAGAAAGGAGGGTAATGTTTTTCGAGAGTGTATGTATGTATACTAACTAAATCTATTCGTGTAATTTCAGCTTGTATTTCGTAGGCTGCAAGGCATAGATCACGGTAACATAATGGTCAGTGCGTCTGCCCGGATAGCGGAGGGTGCAGTTTCGAGTCCCGTCTGCTGCCTGGACCGCGTGGAATTTTTTTTAGTAAAAATTTTCTTTAGATTTAAAATCTAGCAAATGAATGCCTTAAAAAATAAAAATGTAATAAATGTCTAGTTGATTATAAAATTGATGATGTTTTTATTTACTTAGATATAGGGAATTACTTCTTATTCTAAATTCAACGAGCTGGTCCATTAGTGGGGGTCCATTATTAAATTGTGTTCATTATTAGATGTCCATATTTGGTGCATGTTCATCACTGGATGTCCATTAAATGATTTTCCTTGTCCATTACTAGCTTAAAAAACCGTGTTTATATTTTAATGATATCTCTCATTTTTATGCGGTTATTTCTAACTTTTTCGGCATAAGCATAAAGGAAAAAAGACGGACATTAAGCTCAACATTGATGTTTAAACAAAATCCTGTTATATTAGGAATAATCCTGCAAAAACCCACCTATTCATCCTTAAAGTGTCCATAATTGGTGCAATTACGTTATACAACATAATTTAATCTTAATATTTTGGCATGTGTATGCCAACCTTAACATTTATTCATCACTATTATACGCTACTCAACGTCACCGACGCGTAGAAGTTTCTACGCCATCAACACAATACTTCTGCGCCATATCAGCAAAAAATGGCGGCCTGACCCATAACTAATCGACGAAATATTTTAAATTAAACTTTTTACAATAGTCAATTTCAGATGTGCATAAATATATCATTAGGAATGTTGATAAATTATGTAATTATTATTATCAGACTATTATCATTTTTTTAAATATTACTTAAATCAACGTTGTCTGTATTATTAATTACAGTGACAAGTGGTTTATGGTTATTAATGTCAATCCGTCATCTTTGTTTGTCAAAGTTGCGCGACATAGGATGCGCACCAAAAACGTAACGAGGTCATTCATCGATATGACCGATATACGATATAGATTTTACTCCTCACATTTTTCTCATACCGGGCCCCTTATATATGCAAATCGATTCATAAGGAGTAAACTCCAAAAATAGAACATCACTTTGCTCTATTGTCAATGACTTCCGCAGCGTACGCGATATAACGTTGCTTTTTGATATTTTTTTACACATTGTGTTACATTATACGAACTTCTCATATGGAACCCTAACTTTTTTTAAAATACTCTATAGCCTTTGTTCATCAGGGAGATAATGTACAATTCTAAATGTGAAAGAATTTTTCAAATCGGTTCTGTAGTTTCGGAGCCTATTTAATACAAACAAACAATCAAATCTTTCCTATTCCTAAAATTAGTATAGATACAGAGATCTGTAGGGAAAACCTACTGTTTATAACAAAAAACCGGCCAAGTGCGAGTCGGACTCACGCACCGAGGATTCCGTACAAACTCAATTTAATACCTCTACGCGTACACATGATAAAAGAGGTAGTAACTTTAAAATTTTCAAAAATATATTTTATTATATGATGTAATTAAAAATTTACAGTTTTCGCAATTTTTCCTTTATCTGTACTATAAGACGTTACTTAGTACCAAATTTCAAGATTCTAAGTTCACGGGAAGTACCCTGTAGATTTTGATTCACGTGCGAGTTTCAAAAATTTGCGGCATAAACAGCTGTATCTTTTGATTGCTTTAGCTTAGAAGTTTGATTTTTTCACAGCTCTAAGGGACAGTAGACATGAGTATTAGATATGAATTTCAGTTTGATACCTCTACGCATTCCTGAGAAAAACGGTCTTGACAGACGGACGGACAACAAAGTGATCCCCTATAAGGGTACAGTTTTTTCCTTTTGTGGTACGGAACCCTAAAAATAGTAAATTATCCTAAATGTAAAGTGTCGCTTCAGCCTCCCAATTCTCATCAGGCTATGCTTCCACTGCTAGATCACGCACAGGTCTTCCCTAGAATGGCAAAGGGAGAATGTGCCATTTCCCACCACGCGGGACCCACCAATGCGGATAGGTGGGTGCTTACAACTGCAGATGCAGCCAGGACCAACGGCTTAATGTGCCTTCCGAAGTACGGAGGAGCCCGAGATAATAAGTTTTTGGTCACCCATCCCAATGGATGGCCGGTCATTGGGAAAGTTGCTTAACTTTCACTATCGCAGACGGAACGTGCTAACCATTTGCGCCATCGAAGTTTTACTTCAGCAACAGCCTATATTTTTTTCCTAATGGATGTGTACAACTAAAATCTCTCCCCATTTATTTTGTCTCGATCCCGAGTGTAATATGGCGTCCAGTCATGAAAAAAATTACGTGACATAAGTGTCGCTCCAATCTACCGATAGGGTGCTGACGCTGAAATTCTTTGAACAAAACACTGAAAATGGTATATTTGCCTTTTCCAAACTTATAATGACATCACGTCACTCAATTGATTTGCCTTCCCGGAACCTCTTCACTAACAATGAAATTTATTTATTTATTAAAGTTCAAATTGACTTTTAAGTATTATTACGAATCGTGTGTATGGGAGTATAGAAAAGTGTTGTTTTAGGACATTTTCAGGCAATTTTTTAAAAATTCCTCAGCGTATAACCATCCTCGTACGTCAAGGTTTATTCTAAAAAAATAATTATCGAAATCGGTGCAGCTGTTCTCGAGATTTGCGCTTAGCAACACATTCAGCTATTCATTTTTATACTATAGATTTTTATATTATAGATTGTAGGAGCAATTGAACATGTCACTGCCGCTGTCACGCGGGGTCAAATGGCATCCTGTTGTAGAACCTGGTGTCTGAGTGTGGGTAGTGTACAACAAACGAAATTGTAGGACCTTGCATGCTTCACATCATTTGATGTTAAAGATGGCGGAGCTGTTACATTTAGTTCGACTTTTCATCGTCGGACTTGAGAGGGACTTGAGTGGTGGCGCGGACTCAACATAAGTACTTGATGGACTCCCTGTCTTTAATAAGCTCGCGTTAATGTTAATTTTGTAATAATAAATAATAATTCTGCAAAATGCTAATGCCCTTCTAACCTCTTTCTGTGTTTTGTGGGTCCTACCCACTGAAAACCCAACAGTGCCTCCTCGCCTGCCGGAATGGGTGTCGTGGGATCCTCTTCCTCCTGGTGGTCAGGGGGATGCCCGGAAGCAATCAAGGCATCCCTCCTCAATGTGTGAGACTGTACAATGCGGACGGCGGACCACGCTGTCCACCGTCCGCTAGCCGTGCTCAGTACCGTCGGCGTCGGAAAGGGCCGGCCGCCGGGCGTCCCCCTCGCGGGGCCTCTCCGCTGTCTCCTTCCGGAGGATGACTTCCTCGCAGGAGGAGGCTACCGCAATCCAGGATCTATCGCTGTCCAACATCGCTTTTACGACGCTGCGGCAGCGAGAGATCCCGACCCTACCCCTACCTACAAGAATTTCGATAATGTAAATGGCTTATAACCAAGTTCTCATCTATTTCGATAGTAAAACTCATCATATATTGATTCAGTTATTAGGGCACGAAAGCTTAAAAACAATTTCTCGTCTATACCTTATTTTATATTATATTAGTGATCCGCGTTATGTCACTCAAGAATAATGTAGAAGATGACTTTTAAATAAGTACGGAAAAGAAGTACTAATTAATTATATAATTTACATGCATTAGATATCTATAAAGGGCATAGCAAAGATGTTTAGACACACTTTTCTACATGCGTATTGTTTAAGTATTATCATTTGCCTCGAACCTATTTGCGGACTTGGTAAAATGGCGTCTTAAGGCGCTGTCCAACGACCTGTGCTGTCGTTTATTGAATAAGAACTCTAACGTTCGAGATTAAGCAGTAAATATAAATTTTTAGCCTTTAACGGATCCCAATTTATTTTATAGATAATTAATTAGTGAATTCACCAAATAGCAATGGCCAGGGTCGCCAGATGACCCGGGGCTCCGTGTCCGGGTAGAGGGGGTCCGGGTTCCCGTCGAGATGCACATTAAGTATCTCGGCTGTGCGCCGCCGCAGCCGGACTCGGTCGGCTCCTCCCTAATGTGGGGGGGGGGGGGGGGTTGAAACGAAAACGTCGTGCCGTCACTGGGTTATAAAGTCGATGTCACTATATGGAGCCCCGGTCGGGGCGGAGTGCCTGCCGTCCCGCACGAGGGCCCTCTTGCGCAGAACGCAGAGGGTCATAGCGGCCCGGGCCGTGCGGGCTAACCACACGGTCAGCCACGGGGCTGCCTGGCAGGTACGGTCCCGTGGGAAGTTGATGCTCTGGTTCTGTCACATGTGCATCAATACAGGGCCGCGGCGAGAATGTAGGGCGAGCGGCCCGTTCTTTGAGGAGGTAGAACGGGTCCGCACCAAGGCGCAGAGGGGGGCTCTGCGCCGATGGGACGGGACACTCGCCAACCCAGCCGCTGGCCACTGGACGATCGAGGCGATCCGTCCGGGGTTGGAGGAGCTGGTAGGGCGCCAGCGGGGCAGCCTCACCTTCCGCCTGGTGCAGGTACCGACCGGACATGGGTGCTTCGGTCACTACCTGCACCGTGTCGCCAATCGGGAGGAGTCGCCGTGGTGTCATCACTGCGCCTCTCCCGACGACACGGCCGAGTACACGCTAATCGTGTGCCGAAACGAGCGCCGCACTCTGATTGCGGAGCTCGGCGGTGGAGACCTCTCGTTGCCAAGCATGGTTAGAGCTATGCTTCGTAGCGAAAGGGCCTGGAAGGCTGCCGCCTCCTTCTGCGATTCGGTGATGACGCAGGAGGCCGTGGAGAGGGAGTGGGAAGAGGAGGAGGACGCTCTAGCGCCTCCCCTCCGACGTAGGCGGACGGGCCGAAGAAAGGTGTCCTGGGCGCGGCTTGATCGCCGCGTGCCCTAGGTACCATTCGGCATAGGCCACCCCGTCTGGGGATTGCCTAGTACCCTAGCGCAATCCCCCAGAGGCGTGTCGCCCGGTTTACTAGTAGGGCCGGGCAGGCTCGCGGGTGTCCCGGTGAAATGTCGCACACAGAGGTGCGTCGATCCCGAGACGCTCCCATGGGCGTAGGAGGGTACCGGTGAGTTTTAGTGGGTAGGACCGGCGCTGTTTCTCGCCCGCGCCGTGTGAGTCCCACACACGCCGTGTGCCTCGCCAGCTCACGGTACGGTCTGTCAAGGGATTTCTCATCGTCACAAAAAAAGGGTCGCCAGATGACACAGAAAGGAAATTGAAATACTCACGGAATATTTATAAATTGCTGTAAAGAAATAACACACCACTTTTAAAGTCCTTTGTTCATTTTATTTTCTTCAACGGTGAAACAGGAATTTCTAATGTCAATAATAAAAAACATAAATCAGAGACAAGAATATCGGTTGCAATACATCCTACTTATTTAACAACATTTATAATAATATTTATTACTTGTATTGATAATTATTTAAGTCACATAACCAATATTTATTACGCTTGTAAGCCGTGTCTTGAGCAAGGAAGAATACAGAGTACTGTTCTAGTAGGTACCCTAGATATATTTATGAAAAAATTTCACGACAAATGCCTAAAGCATCAGGTTTATAACCAACTGGACACTGATTAGGTACGGAAATAATGTTTTTAGTATTAATATTTTCGTTCATAATCATATCGTCTTCTTCCGCTTGCCTCTTTGACCTTTCTTCGGCAGATTTCAATGTATTCACCAATAGCGACCAGACCTTTGACTGTCTAAAACAAAAAAAGAAACAATTATGAAATTGTTAAAATTGAAACACTAAAACAAAATTAAGGTGCGAGACATTGTATCTCTTGTAAAACATGATTGCCCATGGTCTATTATCTACGAAAATTACCTATCTGGGAATCAAAATAAATATATCTTAATTCAAATTGGATGGATAGTTTTTTTGCTACCAGTTGTAACTACTCTTTTGAATCATTCAAGAAAAAAATACTCTACCACTCGATATTTGATATATTTTTTAGCTGCGGTGAAAAACAAACGTAAAAACTCCACAACATTAAAAGAATAATGTAACAACATTTACAAATCATTACAATCATGATTTAATTCATATATAGGGTTGCCAAACCTCCCGATTTTACAGGAGTTCTCCTGTTTTTCTGGACGGAAAAAGACATAGAAACTTGTCTTCTTGTTGCTGGACTATATTTTAATTACCTATTCTAGTGGGAGGGGGTGCAAATCGGAAAATAATACGACCCTGCATCTACTGTTTTTTCTTGCAGCTCGTTCTATATGTCTAGTGCTTTTTTTCCTGTAACGCCTCCCGATGTTTGAAAACCGGACCAGGCAACACTGTTCATATAGAAAACCTGATGGAATGATGGGAACAGTTTAGACCCAAAGCATTTTTTGTATTAAGTATGTGATCATCATTGTCAGAAAAAAGTTAACATTTTTCTTACAAATAATAATTTTTCGTGTATGTATTGTGATGCGACCAATTTATTTAAACTTATCTTTTAAGGATTCTTTAACTTTAAGATTTGCACAAAAATAGTTTGAATGACGGAGTCGGCGTTTCCCCACAGTAAAATTCTAGCGTATCTTCATTATGGCATATGCTGCAGAACTATGTCTATTTGACAATTTATCAATATGTGGGCTTCATTGAACCTTGGAATCCAACTACAATTACTATAACAATACTGTGTTGTCTACAATGCCCATATTTAAATACTATTAAAATGCGAAAGTGTCTCTGTTGCCTTTTTATTTGTTTGTTTGTGTCTACTTCATTCAAGGGTAACCTTAAGTATCTATATTAGTAGGTATTTACAGTTGTTGTACTTTTTGTACTATAAAATATTCTGTGTTACTTTACAGTGCAAGCATAGTAAATTGAAATGTACATATCGACTTATAGAGGTAGGCAAATGACTCTACCCCACCTGATGTTAAGTGGTAATAAAGTCCAAACGCTCTGATATACACACATCAAAAGTGTCTAGGGATCAAGCATTTTTATGCGGATTTCTTGAGATTGAGATGTGGCTTTGTAATAAATTTATGATTTTATAAATTTATATGGATCCTTTTTGGTGCATTTCATAATTTGAATCAGGAACTGTGAATCAAATTCGAGTAAAAGATGAAAATCAGCTGTCAATATTTTCCCTATAAAAACATACAACGCATTGAAGACATTATTAGTGCTACTGTTTCCCTACTACTGATTAAAACCAACGTTATTATGGAGCGGCGACGTCATTTAAGCAGGGAAGAAATGCTCAGAGCCGTGGGAATGATAGAAGCTGGTTCCCGGCAACGTACTGTGGCTTTAGCTCTGAATACAAGTCAGAGTGTTATCAGTCGACTTTGGACACGATACCGAAGCACTGGTACCGTGGCTGAGCGCCATGGAGGACGGTATCGCTGCACCACACGGAGACAAGACCGATACATTCAAATCTTAACTCGAAGAGCTCCAACAATAACCGCCATGATGTTAGCCGTGAGGCTTCATCACTCTTCAGGGAACTTAATTAGCGACCAAACAGTCAGAAACCGCTTGCATGAAGTGAACCTTCATTCCCGAAGACCGCTACGGGTACCACCTATAGCAATGCACAATCGTAGGATTCGATATCAATGGGCTCTTGAACACAGAAATTGGGCAGAAGAACAATAGCGTTTCGTGTGCTTTTCTGATGAGTCTCGTTTTGGTATGAGACCGGATACAAGACGTATACGACACTGGAGAACCCCTGGACGCCAACAGCGATTAAAATCCTGCCAGGAAGTCCATCCTTATAGTGGTGGAACCATCATGGTATGGGCGGGTATTTGGATCGGCGGAAGAACTGAGTTGATTTGGATCAGAGGCAACCTCAACGCTCAAATTTATGCTGAGACGATTGTATCAGATGTCATCGTTCCTCTACAAGTGCAAATCGGTCCCTTATTTCAGTTAATGCATGATAATGCACGACCGCACACCGCAAGAGTTGTAAGACAGACTCTCGCCGCAGCTAACATCAATGTCCTGCCCTGGCCTGCTCAGTCGCCAGACTTGAACCCGATTGAGCATGCATGGGATATGCTACAGAGAAGAGCTCTGCCGAATATGGAGGGTATCCAGTCGCAAGAAGACCTTTTTTTGTTGTTGCAACGAACATGGGCGGCCATTCCACAGCGTGATTTGGATGAACTCATTTTGAGTATGCCAAACCGATGTTCTTGTGTTGTTAGTGTTCGCGGTAGAAATACGGATTATTAATTGTTTAAGTTACCCAATAAAATTTTAGAGAAAACTGTTATTTCAGTCTTTTTTTCGAACTTTTGTGTTAGTGGTTCAAATGTCAAAAATCCCTTTATTAGGAAAATGGCAAATTTCTTTATTAATGCAAAGGTGACTTGGTTTATCGTTACTGTGACAAACGAAAACACTTAATTTGATGAATCCTTAAAGAAAATTTTAATTAATATCAATCAGGAGAAAAGTTATTGCAAAAATATATGTTGATCCCTAGACACTTTTGATGTGTGTATATAAAATATGTACTAATTCTGATGTTATTTCAATAATTAATACTCACTCTTGATTTGCAAACCAAACGATACGACACTTCCCATTCACAAACACTTTTCCAGGAGGGCAATTCTCTGGTACAATCACAACATTTTGTGGAGCCGTTTCCTTCGATTTCCAGATGTCTCGACAAACCCCGTTGATCAATGCTTGCCCGGGCCCACAGTTTGGTGGAACTACTATTGTATTTTGGTAATTTGCAGATCCATCATAGTGTGCTGGAGCGTTACTGAAAATAACAATGAAAGGTACATAAATATTACACATAAGAAATCAATAAATTTAAAGTGGGAAAACCCATAAGAATGTGTTAATTTGGTATTTTGCTAGTACTAAGTGTTGACTTATCTAGTTTTCGCGGTATGCTATCTATTTACATGTCTGATGTTTTATTTTATCATGAATTAATATCAAATAACAGTGGAAAAATATTGCCTAATAATTTGTTAGCAATCAATGGTCTTCAGCTAAAAATTTTTCAGCCTCTGCTTTGGTTAATGACCTTACATCGACTTTGTTTACAATCTGTATCGCGATTCGTTGGTCGAACTTTAGTGTCTAATGTTGTATAGATATATGATATTAACGAACCCTTCGTGCGTGAGTCCTACTCGCATTTAGCCGGATTTTTTATTTTGCTTAGGTTTTAATTTCTATTCTCAAAAAAAAATCACTATAAATAACATAATATAGTAAAGCATGCCTTGCTTTCGATTGTTGCATTTTTTGCAATTTCCAAATTCATACAAACCGTCCGTAAGCTCCCATAAAATTTCTTGTTTTTTTTACTTTTTGTCTCATATTATCTTAATTTAAATAAATATAAGAATTTTTTTATAATGATATTAATTTAAAATATTTACTACCAGTACTTACACAGAATATATATTTAAATATTTATATACTAAAATAACTAAAATATAACTAGAAAAAATTCCACGCGGACCAGGCAGCAGACGGGACTCGAACCCGCACCCTTCGCAATCCGGGCGAATGCACTGACCAATTATGCTACCGCGGCCCTCACGGACCATGTCGAAATTCTTTCTAGCTATTCTTAAGCTGCAAGGCAGCGCCATCTCTTCGCATTATAGGTAAACCCACAATGTCAAATGAATACTTTTACAAGTATTAAACATTTGAAAGAAGAAATAGCAATTATAGTTATAATTTTTATTATTTTTAAAGCATGTAACTGCTTGATGTTTAAATCTAAAGAAAATATAACTAGAAAAAATTCCACGCGGACCAGGCAGCAGACGGGACTCGAACCCGCACCCTTCGCAATCCGGGCGAATGCACTGACCAATTATGCTACCGCGGCCCTCACGGACCACGTCGAAATTCTTTCTAGCTATTCTTAAGCTGCAAGGCAGCGCCATCTCTTCGCATTATAGGTAAACCCACATAATATATAGCATAATTGGTCAGTGCATTCGCCCGGATTGCGAAGGGTGCGGGTTCGAGTCCCGTCTGCTGCCTGGTCCGCGTGGAATTTTTTCTAGTTATATTTTCTTTAGATTTAAACATCAAGCAGTTACATGCTTTAAAAATAATAAAAATTATAACTATAATTGCTATTTCTTCTTTCAAATGTTTAATACTTGTAAAAGTATTCATTTGACATTGTGGGTTTACCTATAATGCGAAGAGATGGCGCTGCCTTGCAGCTTAAGAATAGCTAGAAAGAATTTCGACGTGGTCCGTGAGGGCCGCGGTAGCATAATTGGTCAGTGCATTCGCCCGGATTGCGAAGGGTGCGGGTTCGAGTCCCGTCTGCTGCCTGGTCCGCTTGGAATTTTTTCTAGTTATATTTTCTTTAGATTTAAACATCAAGCAGTTACATGCTTTAAAAATAATAAAAATTATAACTAAAATATATTATTAAGTCCCTTTAGGCAAGGTTCCGAAGATACTGTGTTGCCCCTTTGAATAGTTAGACTAATTCTTTGTCCGAGGCAGCTGCCAGTTCTTAGGTCTCCTGTGTTGTCGACTAATCTTTTTGCTATTTCCTTAAAAAGCCTTATAGCGCTAGGATCCCACGGACCTTGGTCCATAGGGTCCTAACGCTTAGGTGTCGAGACCCTTGCACAAGCCGCCCCAGCTCTGTTGTTGGTTCCATGTAGATGGGAAGGGGCCAGCGTGCGTAACAGGTTGCATCCCATACTAGCACCCGGCCCATCTTCCATGGAATCAAACTCATGCCATCCGGTCTCTTGCCATCGTCTATTGCAATACCAGTCGGCTCAAGTAGACTTGGCACGTTGACGGTGGCAAGGGATCGGCGTATGACATACAGCTCAAAAGATTTTCATAAGTCAATTTACAGTTTATTATTTATTTATTTAGTTATATAAATTACGCGCGTTGTTTGTCCGGGATGGACTCCTAAACTACTTACCTAACTGATTTTAATCAAATTTGCAAACCGTGTGCAGTTTGATCCAACTTGAAAGGTAGCTTACATCTCAATTTAGAGTCGCAATAGTATTTTATTGCAAATTAGCCAAGTTCGCCGAGTCAGCTAGGTTTTTCAACCATGCGCGACACGGCCTCACCCGCTACAATACAGATCGTGGGACAGCGACTTAAGGTGCAGTGCACACCGGGAGAGGCGCAGTGAAAATACTGAGAAGCTACCAATTGAAGTTAAAACCTAATTCCCGTACCATAACTTTAAACAGTTAATAGCAAACATGAAACAATACACAAGCGGCGCACAGGCAGCGCTGCGAAGCGGCTCCGAGAGCCGACGCTAGCGGCTACTCCGTTTCGTGCCAATATCAATCGAATATCTAATATCAATAAAAATATCGATGTCTCACACGCCGCTTCATGGCCGTGGCTCTTGGCCGCGCAGGGAGTCGCAGCGCCTCTCCTGTGCAGGTATATAGGTGCCTGAATACTACATACTGAGTCAGACCTTTAGCTGGCCTTTTTGCCGCAGTGCACACCCACTGCGGCAAAAAGGCCAGCTAAAGGTCTGACTCAGTATGTAGTATTCATTATACCAATCTAGGTTAATGATCTGATAGTGATACTGATAACTTATTTATTAGGTACCTATGTATGTTTTAATCTAGAGGACTTACTGCAGACTAGACAGGGACATTACCGCGTATAGTAGGTAATTGATATTTTTAGGTTAACATTACTAAGGTGGGTGTAAGTGCTATTCAGTGGCGACAACCCTCAGTGGCAAATAGCTATAAGCTCAACAGTGACGTTATAATTTATAATATACACAGCATAGTAATTTGTACAGCATTTGTCACTTTTAAACGGTCATTCACAGAGATTTTGATTCGATTCTAAGAAATTACATATTTTAGATTTATTTCTTGGAGTTTGACAGTTAGACACGATAAAAAACGTGAAAATGTAAATTGCTACATTTTGCATTGGTGCTCATGCTATGGTGCCAGGTTACAGACAGATTTTTTTTCTAGTATTTTTTTTTAATATAGACATGGAATTTCAATGATTAAAAAATAAGAAAATATAAATAATGTACCTGCTTATTTATTATAGGCTAATTTGTTTTTCTGATGTTTTTAAAATATTTTGTATGGAATTCATCTGCCAGGGAATATTTCTCTAAACCATTGTATTTTTACGTCAGTATTAAAATAAATTTCTACTTTTGTAATTACCGAATATATATTTTTTTTATTTGGAGAAACGGTGTTCCCTGATACATGTATTTTTATGCTTAAAAGGGGGCACCAGCTACTTACTTATTTGTAAAATAAAATAAAGGTTATTGATTGTTTTTAAGGCGCCATCAAGGCGTGTACAATGGCTCACTTTTAACGGTTCCGTACCCAGGGTAAAAACGGAACCCTATTACTAAGACTCCACTATCCGTCTGTCTGTCTGCCACCAGGTTATAACTCATGAACCGTGATAGCTAGACGGTTTTTTTTACAGATGATCTATTTCTGCTTCTCAACAAATGCTCCCCGTCAACAGACGTGATTTTTTGCCCGTTTTTTTGCTCCATATTATCATATAGTGTGTAATGTTGTATACCTTTGTTGCAGTAAGATAGATAACGCCGCAATATAGTTATATGGTATTCCTAAGGATATAATTATATACCGTAACATAGTTATACGAAAGCGATTCATTACTATCTTATTAACAACTTGATTTTACTTGATTAAGTTGATTAAAATAATTGTAGAAGTGTAGTATGGGAACTGCGGCGGAGGTGACAGTGGGGCTTTGTTGTATTTGTTAACACCGCACGTCGCTCGCTGTCACAGTTTTTATTTGAGTGTGTATGCATTACAGATAACATTACTCGGATATGGAGACGGTAAGATCCTTCGGAGGGAGTCTCCTCTCGGTCTGGAGCCACTAGACCACACGAGTCCCTCAGGGTCGGTTCAACTAGATTCTGACCGTCTCTGAGAATCAGACTTCTTGTTAGCCGCTGTCGTGAGGGGCGAGTAAAAACGCCTAGGTAACCACATATCGGCACGCTGCCCGCATCATTGGCGATGTAAAGGTAACTAACCTCAATTCTCTATAATTAAATAATTAAAGATCATCTGTGACCGACAGAAAAGGGTCGTGGGGCTGGGGTGGTCGTAGGAACCCCTCGACCTCGCCACACACGCACCGCGGAACATAAAACTAACTCGTGACAACATGACATGACGTCACATGTAGTCGGTGTTCATCGATTTATAAGAAGTTATGCCTAAAGAATTTTTCACTTCAAAAGGGCAGTGACTGACGTGCGTGCTCACAAATACAACGAAGCCCTCGTTGCAGCCTCCACCATAGTCACCGCACTTTACTCCTATAATTATTACACTAAACTTAATCAAGTAATATAAATAAATCACAAAATTTGAGCACCACTCTCCGGGCTCCGACTCCGAGGGCCGCGGTCGCATAATGGTAAGTGCATTCGCTCGGATAACGGAGGGGTTAGGGGAGGGTGGGTTCGAGTCCGTCTGCTGCCTGGTCCGCGTAAAATGTTTTCTAGTAAAATTTACTTTAAAATTATTTAATTAAACATCTAGCAGTTTAACACTTAAAAAATATAAGTATTATAATTAAATTCCTAGTAAAATAGCAATAAATCGCTTTCGTATAACTATGTTACGGTACACAGGGGTAAAACTATATTACGGCTTTATCTATTATACTGTGACATATAGATAATGGTACGGAACTCTTGGCGCACGAGTTCGACTCGCACTTGGCAGCTTTTTTTATTGTATTCTTAGGTGGGGTCAGGCGCACGAAGAAATAAGTTCTTGTATTAGCACTCTTTACTTTACGGAAGTTACCGTAGCATTTTACCTAATAGGTAAAATAGGTAAAGTGTGTGTGTGTGTTACTTTAAGTGTGTGAGTTTTAACTATATTGTCATATTAAAATTAGTCGGCCTAAAATCTCTAACGGCCTAAAGGCTCCTATTTCCATTTTTCTAGTAATATTTTCTTTAGATTTAAACATCGAGCAGTTACATTTTAAAAAAATTAAAATTATAAAAAAAAATATATATATAATATGTGGCCGGTCTTTATATACTTCGATCACTCGTGTCCAAACTTCATGCTCATTATGATATGCCGCCATCTTGATCGAAATACGTGCTCTCCGTGTGACAGCTTCCAAATAACTGATTGAGAAATTGCCCCAATCGCGCTACACACGCGGCTACGTGCAGGGCGGCAGGGACAATCTAGGGACCAAGGGTGGTCTCGCGCTCCTGCCCCCCTGCCGCAGGCCCAATTTAGAAAATTGCCCCTGCTTGCCTACACATATCACAATTATGGAGACAATTAAGGGTCATCCCCACTCTTACACCCTAGATTGTCCTTGCGGCAGGCATGTCAGTAGGCGCTTTAAGATGCAATTATTACGTGTTTTAAACATGTGCCTGCAAAACCGTGCTTTTCGACGTTTAAATTATATTTTGTTTAAAATTACGAACGTTTCTTGTGAGAACATAAAATTTTATAATGCAAGAAGCACGATTTACATTTAATGCTACCAAAAACGTTAGCCCGTAGTACTTCCCAAAATCTCTTCTTTACTTACGCCTCTTTAACGAAGTAATCGTTTCTAATGAGGAACCATACTTCACGGCATTGCCCATTGATCCATTCTTGTCCTGCTGGGCAATTGGGTGGTACAGTTACTACATTTGTTGGATACACCACGTTCGGGCGAGCTTCAATCGTCGTAATCAGTGCGGTAATAACGATTAACAAAACTTTCATTTTTTGCGATTAATTAACACTGTACAAGTACGATACGTTTTAAAGAATCTTCGATAATGCCTTGAACATTCAACAACAATGGTTAATTGATAGGTGTGTAATAATATTAAATCTGTGACGTGCTTGATATCATAACTTAGATTTGAATGATACTCGGATGATATGCTATCAACACATAGATACCTACTACTTGCCATTTTCTGAGAATTGAATCAGGTACCTATATGTAAAGTAAGGCAACAGAATAAAAGCAACCGATTTTAATGTGTAGGCGATATAATATCTCTTCAAGATTAAAAAAAGATTAGTTTTGTTAATGAAATTTCATATGGCGCTATCGTAACATCTACCTAGTCCAGCCATAAGTTTTGTTACAAATGAAAATGCATTTTTTTAATGAATATTAATAATGTAATATTATTAAAATTTATACCTGCATATTTATTAAAGTCTCAGCAAAAAAATAAAAAAAACTATTCTATTCGAAATGGCCACCTTTGGGTTTTTTTATGGTTAAAATGGCGCAAAATCGAAAGAAGTTTTTAAAATAATTTACGTACCTATTCCAAAATAATAATTAATAAGTTGAAAAAAAGAAAAGTTTTTATGTAGGTAACTGTATGACTAGTTACATTGGCAATATGGCCAGACTAGTTACATTAAGTAGGTTTCGGAATTGATTGAACTTTGTTATGTTTAAAAATCTTTTTATATTTTTAAGTTAATAATATAGTCGAATAAACTAAAGTTTAATCAATTGTCATCACAAAAAAATATTGATTCTATTTCACGATGATCATTATTTTGTTGCTACCGTCCAACAAGAGGTCACTCTTCCAAGATGTGTGTCCGGTCGTTAAGCGTGTTATTGATCCATCATTCTCTAGTTAGGTCTACGTGTAGTTTCCAGATGAGACTCAATTTACCAATTGAGGAACGTAACCAACAATTTTAAAGTATTGTACCTAGGGTTACCATATCTCAGGATTTGTCCTGAGATTTCAGGATTTTTGGAATCTTCTCAGGATTGCGGCTAGATTTTGCAAATCTCTTAAAATTTCAGGATTTTTTGGTTTTCAATAAAATACTAACTAAAAAATACTAGCTAACGTTTGAAAGATATGTTTTATGAAAAACTTAAACAAACTAAAAATAATCTTTCTTTGATAATAATTGCATAGTTCAAATCAGTACTTATTTATCCAAGTAGGTACTTGATCAGTTTTATCATACATAATATGTGATGTGATGTGTATACATTATATGTGATGATACATTTTTAAGTGAGGTTTTTTCATTAATTATGGATTTATAAAATGCCCCACATGTTAAGCTCTTCAAATTATATTGAATTAAAAGTATAAACAGCATAAGTATAAATAGTACAAGCAGCAACGATAATATTATGACTTTTATAAATTGTTAAGTACGTTTGAGAGAAAATTCTCAAACTGTAAAAATCTCAGGATTTTTCAATGAAAACAAGCCCTTTCTCCGGACTTTTGATTTTTTCATCTGGTAACCCTAATTGTACCTACATTCACTTATTTAGGGCGTAGTGGTATAGGAGTACTCACTTTCAAAATATTATTGTAGGTACATACCTTTATTTAAGGTGCTTGAGACCACTGACACAGACCCAAACGCTATACCTCTAAAAATTTGGTAAGGGTAAGTGTACTGTAGGAAAGCTGAAGAGAAACGCAGACTGGATCTACTTATCTTATCTAGATCCAAATTCCAACACGATGGCAGAAATCGTGGAGGTGATGGCCGGACTGGGGAGGTGATCTACGAAAAGGTGACGTGGAGCTTAGTCCAGGGCTGGGCTGGAGTCTTAGTAAGTGGTGCGATGCCCAGTAGCGGTTACCAAGCGACCAATTAAGGGAAAATAAAAATGGGTTGGAGGAAATTGAACATACAAATAAATTCAGCTTATTCTAATAATAGCTACCTAGGTAAGTAAGTAAATGCCTTACTTACTTTTATTCAAAGCTTTGGATGACCTAGAAAATAACAATACTGGCTGTAGGTAGGTTAGGGTACTAACTACCAACTCATTAATATTCTGCTACCTGCTAACAATAATACTGTTCTATTATAGGTGGTAGAACCTATTGTGTCGTGGTTACTTTTCCGGTTATTATTGTGTTTGGGATGCGAACGCGACATTTTATGTGTATTTATTGTGATGGAACCATGGAATATAATGGCTCTATATATTAGGTACTCATTATACGGTTGTATTTTTACCGTTTTTTATTTGACCTGTTTCTAACATAGCAAATTTATTGTTGACATTTGAATTGAAATTAATTCGGAAAACCCGTAGTAGTAGAACTGTTAGCTGAACTTATCAAAATTCTCCGAGTTTGAGCTTTATGTTGCGTTATATAAGATTCGCAATCTATTAAAAAAAATACAATTTGTGGTAAATTATTTTTTGTGGCTGTATATAAAAACATACGTGTAAAAGGTGGGTGAGTAGGATTATTATTTGTTTCTTTAGTGCAGTACATGTTTTTGGCCACTGTATAATAGTAGAAACATACAGGTATATCCCTTTTAAAGATCATTTTAAGATAACAAACAAAGCATTAAAAGTCATTTTAATCGGCCCATTTACTATATAGCTATTGAAGAAATGTTCAGTATTAACTGTGCTAATGCAGACCCCCCTAATATGTAGGGGTTTTTAACATCGACAATGAAAGTTATTCCTCAATCGGTAAGTCGGTCGGTAATATAACCTAATATTGATTATACAAAAACGTTTGTAAAATCGATATAACTACGGCATCGCACTTTAAGTTACAATGTGATACCAAGGCAACACAGCCCGCAGTCTTTAACTACTTCTGTCCCAGTAAAAATAAGTAGGTACGTCTGTAGCGCGGTGGGGTGGGCGACCAACAATAAACATCATCATAATTTACTCCACTCAATGTTCGAGAAGTCTGTGTCACACAATAATTCGTGTTAGTCATTGTGTGGAACCCAAAGTGAGCTTTCGTGTCAGAGCCTTGCGTTACCTAACTGAATAGGTCTGTGTTACTTTTTTGGATAGTGTAAAAATGAAGATCCTTGTGTTTGTGACTTTATTCCTAGTAATTATATTAATATGTACTGATGCGAGGAAAACCTCTAGAAGTCGAAGTTCAGGGTCAGGCCGTGGTAGTAGCCGAAAAACTAGTTCTAATCCACAACCAGTACCAACATCATTTAGCAATCCACAAGCATCAGCACCCAAACCATCGCTATTCGGATGGCAAGAAAAGCCAGCAGCGCGAAACACACACACATACCCTTCGAAACAGTCAAATCCATCAAGTAATCAGAATCACGGGTATCCTTCAAGTCAGACTGGATTATCTGGAAATACTCCCGTTAAGCAACCACCGTCATACCAAGACAGTATTCAAAGAAGTAATGTACCTCAACAAAATGCACACAATCCAGGTACCCAGTCACAAAGTAATCATGCTTATCCGGCATCAAATGGATTCTCCGGTAGTTCCGGATCTGCAGGATATCCTCAAGGAAGTGGTCTATCTGGAACTGGTTCCGGGCCCGCTCATACTTCTGGTGTTGGTTATCCACAGTCCAATGGACCAGTAGGCACAGGAGTTGGCTATCCACATGGAAGCGGTATCAGTGGAGCGGCCGGTGCACCACCGCCGTATCCGGGATACAAATCTGGAGCAGCAGGAAATTATCCGGCTTATAGTGGTAGTAATAATTATCACCCACCCCAGGGTCCGCCACCACCTTACTCAAATCACGGTTCTCATTATGGTGGTTATTCTGGTTACGGAGGTCATGGGGTTATGCCTAACCCACAAATGCCAGGGTATTTTGGAAATTACGGCAATAATTATGGCAAAGGATTTGGAGGAATGAGTCGACCAGGAAGTGGAATCAGTGGCTTGGGGTTGGCTGGCGCCGGCATTGGTACAGTCCTGACAGGATTAGCTTTATGGAATTTGGCTAGATCGACAGGTCAACATCACCATACTGTAATTTATGATAATCGAGGCCAGCCTGTGGCTGTAGCGCCAGCAAATGGAACGGACCCTGCGGTTGAATCCATTTTAAAAGATTTAGTTAATTGCACCTTGACTATAAGCAGTGATAACTCAACTGAAGTGTTAGCTATACCATGTGCTATTGCTACATCTTTTACCCCAGATACTGATGTCAAAGATGCAAATGCTGCTAAAAACAATTCAGACAATACGAAATGCACTGTCACAGTTGTTACGAAAGAAGGACAAGAATTTATGACTACAATTCCGTGTTCAATACTCTTGAATACAGCTGCAGAAAATAATGTAACGGAACCTGCTCTTGTTGATAGTAGTTCAGGAAATGTAAATGCATCAACAGTGACGAATGACACACAATATCTAAATCAACCATCAGCCTTAAAACTTTCTGATGAATCTCACGAAGTTAATGTCACTTGTTCACCTAAAGAAAATGGTGAAATTCGTGATCCCATAAATCCTTGTTTAGCAGTAACTCACAATTTAACGGTGGTTCCTTTGGAACCAACTACACCAACTAGTCTATTAACTCAAAATTCTAATTAACACACTGTTTATAATGTAATTTTTGAAAGGTTCTATAAGAGTCTTTGTATCGTGTTAGATCGTGTTTTGATTATTATATAACGAATAGCTTATGAATTATTATGAAGAAGTATAGTTAACTTGGAGTAGTGCAATTAAATTTGTATTTAATACAAATAGGTACTACCTACGTACGAGTTTTTATTATGGTTATCAATATTTAGTAAAAAGGATTTTTTGGTCAAGTAAAGTTGTTATAATGAATGTGCCTATAATAGACTGATTAGTGATTTATTTTATGCCTACACAGTCATACTTATTAAAAGTGAAATTCATGAAATATTGATTTTAATTAAACCACTAGACTGCATCAAAATAAATGTAAAGTTCAAAAAACCCCGCCACCCAAAACTGATCTAAAAAGTAAATAAATAAACTGTGCTGACCATTTAACTTTATTGTTAAGTACTTAGTAAGTAAGTAGTTCTTTAGTTAAACGCAGATATCGTCAAGTCGGAGAACCGCTAAAAAAGTTGTAAGTAGTTTAATTTCTGACTACTCAGTCACTTAACTTTTTCATTTGGTGCTTTCTCTAATCGGGGCCCCCAGACTTGACGATTTCTGGGTCTTACTGTTACTTAGTACTTAAGCACATTAAAAAGGCAAAAAAGAGCCAAAACAGTTTATTTATTAACTTTAAGATTTCTATTTCAATATTTTTAATTAATAGTAGACACACTACAAATTAATATAATAACGCTTCGATCGTATTTTTTTCGTTATGACTATTCTTATAAGCCCAAATACGCTACAAATACTGTAATTAGTAGTTTGACGATCGAACAAATGAGAACAAAGGAAGTCCTTGGTGCTGCGCTATTATCTAAATCATCACCTAAAGGTTTAAGGGGTAACCATGTCTTGGAAATATGATCGAAGAAAACTACTAACGAACTAGTAACTGTTACATTTGTAAGACCCTCTTCATCAAATGGGAGATGCGCTGATGATCTCCAAACCTTATACCTACCTTGCTTAACAAATATAAAAACCGCATTCAAATTAGTCCATTCGTTGAGGAGCTACGGTGCCACAGACAGAGACACAGATAGACAGACACGTCCAACTTATAACACCCCTCTTTTTCCGGTGCGAGTTAAAAAAAGGAATATTCAGGGCGTCCCACGGGTTTGCCACACGGAGGGAATACCTACTGAAGATAGGATATTTTACTGAAGGAAGACGTCATTTTATTTTTAATAATAAGTAGAAATGCTTTCACAGATTTAAAAAAATCGGCTGCCATAACTGGGATTGAAACTCGGGAAATGTGAAACAAAAAAACACATGTAGTATGTTATGATAACCGACGATAGGATTAATTATAAGGATTATTTTTTCCTAAATAACATAGTATTATAATGATGTTTAGTATTTTCATAAATTGAAAAGAATTTATAGTGTTAGGAGTCAAAATTATATAAAAGTATATGTATATGCTGTGTTCATCTCAGTTCTGTTCATCGAGAACGGTAAAAAAAGAATCAAAAACTTGGAATTATAATTTCACGTGTAAGTCGTACTTAGTCATGCAGAGATGCAAAAAATACATTAAAAAAGTATCTAAAATACAAGATACCAGGTAGTCAAGTATTTAGATAACAGATACAAGATGCTTTTGGAAATAGTATTTGAAATACCAGATACAAGATCATGGACTTATACTTTTATACTTATACTTTTTTTAAGATAAAGATACTTTTTGAATCAAAATATAGTTTAGTTATTCAGGGCGGTTTCCGCACAATTATTGGAAAATTGTGCGTCAACTAAATCAAAACATGTTAGCAATATAACCAGTCCGCTGTGCCTGTTTTTTGATAACAATACTGGCATAACGCCACGAACCTAAAGACGTGGCTGCTGTTCTTCCAATTATCGAATTCATCATCATCATCTTACGATTGATCTTAATTGCATTCATGTTTCTTCAATATTTATCAAGAACTATGAATTAATGATAGTTTCGGTGTAATTTTTTTAGATTTTCTGAAAGTGCAGAGTGTTTATAATTTGTCAGGTTTAGGATGGGTGACCATGACTATAAATATGCAGGTTGTTTACGATTGGTTGGGTTTGGGATGGGTGACCACGATTATTAATAATATCCCGGGTTTTTACGATTGGTTGGGTTTGGGATGGGTGACCGCGATTATTAATAATATGCAGGTTGTTTACGATTGGTTGGGTTTGAGATGGCTGAACGCGATTATTAATAATATGCAGGTTGTTTACGATTATTTGATTGACAAGAGATGATATCATTAATAAGCACGGGTCTCTCTCTCTCTAATTATTTGTAAAAATAACCTGATTATTATCTTCATTTCACTCCATTACAAAACAGACCAAAGAAAATTGGCACAAATTTCAAACGTTTCAACAAAACAACAACTCCTCTTCCTCTTGTGAACGCTAACAAAAAGAATATACCGTAGAGGTCACTACCATACCATCTAACCCATAACATTAACGTGAACGAGACTGCAAAAAAAGAACTTACGATTTTCTTTTCACGGTGAATAAAGTTGATAGAAAAATAATGCACTTAGGCTTAGAATAGTAACGCACTAATTTACAAAAATGCCTGCGTTTTAAAATCAATATTGAAAATTATATAGGAGAAGAAAAAGTATCTAAGTAAAAAAAGTATCTTCAAAATACTAAGATACTGAAAAAAGTATTAAAATACAAGATACAACATAAATTTCAAAAAAATATTTGAAATACAAGATAAAAATACGTATTTTGTATCTTGTATATGTATCTTAAATACTTTTATCTTAGATAAGTCACATCTCTGTAGTCATGTCTTAGCAAACATTTTTGAACATGTACTGGTATTTTTCAGAACAGATCAGAACAAAACAATAGTTGGATTCAATTGAATTTAGGTCACAAATTTTCACGGCCCTATTGTATAGATTCATGAATATTATACCAATAAAATTGTATAAAAAAATTGAATTGAAAAACAATAAATTTTAGATTTGTTCACCTATTGTCTACATAGTTTTATCGATAATAGTATAAAAAGTAGTATATTTTTATTTAAAGCAATTTACTGCTAAATGTTTAAATCTAATGTTTTTTTGTTTTATATGTATAAAAAAAATGTTTTCGTTTCTCAAGATGCCGATATGAGATGTGAGCAGATCAAAGCTGTTAATTTGATATCTGAGGATTAGGAGCCTACGAAATATTTCCAACTTTGTTCATAATATTTTCAGACATCAAGTTTACTAATGAATCAGGACTCAAACGGATGCATTTCCACAACAATTTTTTAAGAATATCAATAAAGTTTAATTGTTTTATTGAAAATTTTGCTGAAATTCACCTATTAAATTTAATAAGTAATATGTTAAGAATTTGTTTTTATAAATAGCGCGTCAAATGGACCAAATCACTTCAAAGCATGAACTCAAAAGAAAAATATAAATATTTTAAGCGGCCTACTGACATCCCTGCCACATGGACAATCTAGGGTGCAAGCCATTCAGGGCAATATCGTCTTGTCTCTACACACATGCCTGCTATTTAATGTTCTGCTATGATATGTTGAGCTAAACACACGCGTTGATGATGGTCCCAGTGTTATCAAAAAATCAGAAGATTGGTAGGTAGGGCCTTGGCTTTTTCCATGGTGCTACCGCAAAAAAGGAAATACTGGGTGAAGAATTGGCAACAGAAAGAAATGTATTGTAAATAAATAATGTTTATATTACTAGAAAAAAATCCACGCGGACCTGGCAGCAGACGGGACTCGAACCCGCACCCTTTAATGCTACCGCGGTCCTGACGGTCGTATCGAATTCTTTCTAACCTTTCTTAAGCTGCAAGGCAGCGCCATCTCATCGCATTGTAGGTAACCCACAATGTCAAATGAACAGCTTTACTAGAATTAAACATCTACAAGAAGATATAGTAATAAAAGTTATAATTGTGTCGGCGAAGGTTGCGTACCTCATTATAAAATTAACCAGGAGGTATAGCCTAAAGGTTATACAGGTATACGCTCTAACGCCGACATACTCGGATGATGTTGTGGAAGAGATGTACCAGGACATCTCTCGAGCCTTACACACCACCACCAAGGCTCACTTTAACGTTGTCATGGGGGATTTCAACGCTAAAGTGGGAGTACAGACCTGCAGCGAATCGATGTTAGGATCATACGGCTATGGGAGTAGGAATCATAGGGGGCAAATGCTCGTCAATTTCTTAGAACGCGAGGAGCTTTTCTTAATGAATGAATTCGTTCTTTAAGAAACAGCCCCAGAAGAAATGGTCGTGGCGGAGCCCCGATACTATGACCAAAAACGAGATTGACTTCATCATATCGGACAAGAAGCGCATATCCAGAGATGTCTCAGTGATCAATAGGTTTAAAACTGGAAGTGATCACCGACTTCTAAGAGGCACTCTGAATATCGATTTTAAGCGCGAACGTTGTCGATTGATGAAGTCCACGCTCCGGCCAAATCTGTCCCAATCGGCCGTTGGTTCTGACGCATTCCAAATGAAACTGGAAAATCGATTCGCTGCTTTGGAAACCACAATAGGGTACGGTCAGAGTGCACTCGGATTCAGATTCAGACTCAGAAAACAAGCGCGAGAAATATACAGTGTAGTTTAAGCAGGTTGCCTGCTGCCACTATGGCCACCCTGCTTTAACTACACTGTTTATTTCTCGCGCTTGTTTTCTGAGTCTGAATCTGAATCTGAATCTGAGTGCACTCTGGCCGTACCCATAGACTAGTTGACCATTTTTGGACAAAGGTTTTAATTGGTTAATAAATGTTCTATTAGACCGAAAGAGAATGTATTGTAATTTTTTGAGACCTAGAAAGCTACAAATCTTTAATTTTAAAATAGACTTTTCATGGACATACAAAAACGCTGTCGGCCATTTTAGTCTATAGATTATCTATGCTATGACGTCGACGGTAGTAAACAAAAACTCGTAAGCACGAAGAAAATATTCATCTGAGTTTATAATAAAAAAAACATGATTTCTAATAGATACCACGAAAAATATAGTCATTATCATTATTGTATTGTACGAGAATGTAAAAACACATCCTTGAAGACTCCAGGAAAGTTGTGGATTAAAGTGCCGAAAGAAAATAACTTACGCAATACCTGGTTAGAACTTGCTAAAAGTGAACCTGCAACTTTATCGACTCATAGTAAAATTTATTTTTGCGAAGATTGCTTTGATGTAAGTACTCATTGAATAATATTTTAAGTCTCTTCATTTATTATTAGTTTTAATAATACAAGTTTTAAAGTTATGTATGAATGACATTTAGTTGTTTACTGAAAGAGACGTCACAATCATGGCGAATGTGGCGAACAGCGTTTTTAGTGTTTACAAAGTATAGACTATTTTTTTTTAATTTAAATTTCCACAGCAATTTTCTGCTTTTATGAAGTGAAATCGATACACCAAATACTTTAAGAAATAAACATTTATTTAATACAATTCCACATGAGTCAACTAGCCTATTGACGTTGACATCGACGAAGAACTCGACCAAGTGGTAGAAATCCTTCGGAACGAGGGTGCGAAGTTCTGTGAGCTGCGACTCTGGATCTAATGGACAAGCGGCGAAACGATCCACTAGTCAGAACAACGGGCCCTGAATAAGTTCATCTCCAAGCTGGTAAGGCGTGACCTCCGATGCTCCAATACACTCTTGATACAGAGAGCAATTGAGCAGAACCGGGGGTCTAAAGTCTTCATACAACAGCTTGGTAGGAGCCACATGACGAAGTTGACCAAAACAAGTGGAGAAGTCGTCGAAATGATGTAATCCGGCAGAGAACCAAAGTCACCGACATAGCCCACCGAAGAACTGATAGCCGTTGGAGCCGGAAAGTTCTTGAGTGGAGACCACGACTCGGTAAACGTAGTGTAGGGCGCCCTGAGACAAGATGGGATAATAACATTCGTAGGCTGGCTGGAGTCGGCTGGATGAGAGTAGCTCAAAATCGGGAGCAGTGGTATGTATTAGGGGAGACCTACGTCCAGTAGTGGACGAACATGGGTTGCTGATGATGAATATCTTTACATTTAAACATCGAGCAGTTACATTCTTAAAAAATAAAAATTATAAAAAAAATGTGTTTTTATTCCACATGTGGGTCGATCTTTACATACTTCTATCACTCGAGAGCGAGACCCAACTTCATGCTTATTATGATCTGCTGCCATCTTGATCGAAATACGTGCTCTCCGTGTGACAGTTACCAACCAACTCATTGAGAAATTGCCCCGATCGCGCTACACACGTGGCAACGTGCAGGGCGGCAGGGACAATCTAGGGACCAAGGGTGGTCTCGCGCTCCTGCCGCCCTGCCGCAGGCCCGATTTAGAAAATTGCCCCTGCTTGCCTACACACATCACAATTAAGGAGGCAATTAATGGTCATCCCCACTCTTACACCCTAGATTGCCTTTGCGGCAGGGATGTCAGTAGTCCGCTTTAGTTGATGCTATCAATTTGATTTTTATTTTTTTAAACACTATACTCTTAGACCAAATGAAAAACGCCTTTTGATTGTGTCCGTCATGCTAGTGTACACTACATTGAGTTCGAGGTTGTTACTTATACTATTAAATAGTGCCTGAAGTGCAATCATAAAAAAAACTTCCTCTTGTAACAGTTTTTGCTACCACCGGCTACTCAGGGCTTCGCATGAGACTCAAAAATTATTATCTTGCCAGGACTGTATTTTTGTGGGAGATAAATAAAATGTTTTCAGCAGTGAACAAGATCTTTATATTTTAAATATTCAGATTAAATTATCAACATTCAGTGACACACTTACTATCACTAACAGATATCTTTGAATATAGCTTTTATTTGTTTAAGTATTAAAATTTAGTGACGAACATACAGTCAATAACAGATGTACATTATGTTAATATTCTATAGAAACTACTTGTTTTAGCAAATATCAAACAATATTAAGTGAAATTCAAGATTTTCTTTTAATGAATTTACTGTGTATAATTACAAATCCTTTCTTAAGTCTAAGAATCAAAAATCCTGTACTTCAGAGGATGCACTGGTTAAATATTAAGAAATTACAGATATTACTGAGCTTAAAGACTCCGGGAACATTTAGTGGCTTCCAAATGTTGTTAAATTTTAAGAAGGCTATGCTGTCATCAGTCGCACTCGTATAGGTTGCAGAAAACTGATCATATGTTCATATTATTACATTTATTCCTTTCAATATTTCCAGGGAAATTCCGACCAGTACAAATCAATGAGTTTCTGACTAGATATTGTACTAGCTTCCTCAAAGGACCCGTTAATCCGGGGAGAAATATCAGTTAACAATACTTGTCTTTTAAGATTATTAGCGCACCGACCACAGCTTTCTCAAAGGTCACGTTGCGACTACCTTGATGTACAAAAATGCAAAAGAAAGAGATCGATTGTACTCGCGCAGGGCTATTTATACAATGCCGACCGCCTAGTACATACTAACAGAAGATTCGCTTCTCTTACCATATAAGGAGCGAAATCCTCGCGGAAGAGGTTAGATAAGCCACGCCACTTGCAATTACTTCTAGAATTTATTAATATGACGTCACTTCCATTCCTTTTTACTACGCGAATTATACATCAACTCCATCTATCATACATCCCAAGAGCAACTGTCAGATTCTCTTGACAAGCACATATCCTACTTTATTTATAGCATTACAGTTGTCTAATAGGCCCACACTGTGCAAAATTTCATAATTATAAGATGGGTTAAAACGTTGTGCCCATGAAGTTATAGTGAAACCTTCATGGAGGCTAAGGTGGTTTTCCAATTACAGAGTATAATGCGACTCAGTGGCGCACAATGCCCAATTATGCTGATGCTTAATTGGAACGTGAATTAGTTTTCAAATGCACCAGCAGAGTGCGCTAAGTTCAGTGTTGAAAAAAAAGTCAATGTTTGTACCTTCATCCATATTTATATTTAATTTTTAACACAGTTTGAATTAACTTTGATTATTTAAAAAAAACTATGATGAAACGAATGTTTTAATAATTTTTTAACAATAAATAATATTACTAACGATAAAACATATAAATAAAAAATGGTTGCCTGTAAAGTCGGTTTTACGGGCGAAGATTTTACGTGACAACGTCTTTTTCTCGGTAGAATATTTATTGATATGAATATAATTAAATTGCACAATAGGAACAAGGAATTGAATGAAAATAAGAATTGCACAAATTTTAACTATAGAAATATATTTTGTTTACTAAAACATTGTACATGTAAACTTAAACTTAACACGAGAGACTCATCGTAACGTTACCGAGCGTTACACTTTTTCATAAGTGACTCCCAGCCGCAACCTAATTTAAGACGTTGTCACGTCAAAACATTTCGATCAATGCCAATTTAAAGAAAAAACACTTGTTAATTTTCTGTCTCTGAGTAGGTACGATTGCACGCATCACACGAAAGCATTATTTTTGAGAGTGCTCAATTGTGCGAAGCGTTGCTGTAGTTGGAACACTCAACGTTAAGCATTATGCCGCATAATGCGCTATAATGCTGTAATTCGGCATTGTGCGCCACTGAGTCGCATTATGCTCTGTAATTGGAAAACCACCTAAATCTTTACGTTTTCTCTGGCTGATGTTTGTATGTGGATACTGACTTTATAGATAATTATAGTCTTTTGCTCTGTGGCTTGTCTTTGATTTTTGAACTTTTTTGATAGATTGTTAATACTGTAAAACGTGACAGTTGTGTTGTTTACTTTGTTTTTGACATGTTCAACGTTTATCTTAAAAAGGACTAGAATCCAGGGTCGTAAAACATATTAATAATAAAAAAGATATAATTAAGTAAAATAAATTATATAAAGACCGGGCTGTATGGGCAATGTTCCCCATGCCTTCGCAGAAAAGGTGGAACTTAAACAAAAAAAATAAATTAAAAAAGAGAAGTTTTTGGCGGGATTTCATCGAGTGTGGTTGGCATCTTATTTTAATTATTCTTAAATTCGTTCATAGTGGATATTGTGAAATAAAATTGGTGTGATTTTGTGTTACAACTGTCTGCATAACTGAAGAATTAGTAGAATCGTCAAAATATACGCTATTCCGGTCAAGTGGACGTGAGAATTTTATTGTAGTATTGACTACCTCACAGAAGCTTATCGAAAAAGCCAGCTCGATACATTTCGTGCCAAACACTTCAAGAAACATTAGAATGCGTCACACCGACATTCTAATGTAAAAAGAAAAACAGAATAATTTAACTAGGCTGTATGGGCATTGTTCCCCTTGCCTTCCGTGAAAAGGGAGAACTAAACCAAAAAAAAAAGATTGATAAAGTTTTTAAAGTTTAAAAATGTATTTCAAAGATTTCAATGATATTTTGTAACTTTCCTAATTTACATATATTACTTTTACAATTTAATATAATCGCACTAAACGTAAAAACATAATCGTGACTCTTTTGTAGAATGATATGAAATATTACATCAAAATAAAATTTTACTAAACAAACCATGTCTGATCCGACTATACAAACATTTTGTTGTCACCATTCCGGCCGTAAAGAAGACATGGCTGTAAGAATTATGGGTGAATTCAATACAGACTCTTATAACATTGTATGTCTTGTATCATCTACTATTGGCATTTTAGGTTCTTTGTATCAGGTGAGGTTACTTTAATTTGTTTGATATTTATTTCAGCAAGCTAAACTCAACTTTTTGACTATAACTTATTTATTTAATTATTATTTAATATTACAGATACTCCCATATATAATTGCCGAAGGGTCACAAAGTTGGCAAATAGCTGCATCTACCAGAGGGCGACGTATCATTATCTGGCTGGCTGTGGCAGATCTATTGGCTTCTTTAGGTGATTATTAAAAATATTTTTATTCCCCGTGGTGGACGAATCCGTATGATCACTAAATCATCGAAGGTCACCTGAGCATATTAATAAGGGGTTAAGATTGGATTCCAAATTTGATTTCCATTATATTTGTTTCTTAGGTTTTCACGCACATCACTCATTAAATAAAACGATTTTTATGGGTTATATGCATTGAATTTATTTATCTGATGTTTCGCAGCCTTTTCAGGGCTATGTCTTCAGAAATAATGATTTTTTACTTACTTTGTTGAGCTACCTTCAAATGACATTTATTGACCGTTCGGAAATTTCATTGGAAGATTTTTAAAACTTTATTGTCTATGCTTGAATTTATTAGCTAATTTAATTAATAAAGCAATTTATTTAATTTTATTTTATAAATAAACTCAAAAGTTTATTTATTTGACCCTAACTACCGTAAACTACCACCGGTTCCAAAAATGGGAGACCTTTTTAAGAACCGGCAAAACAAACTCAGGAAGGCTTTCTATCTCCCTCTTATGTTAAATTATGCAAACAAAAAGAACTAACAGTATCTATTGATCTTGCAGTGTGTGTTCGGGTTTGGGAATTTATCTGTTGTATAATGGCTTCCCAAGCTGGTAGTATATACCAACCATCTTCCCTATTGAAATTTGGATATTTCTTAATCTCAATAGCTTCACTTATCATTCTAGGAATGAATCATTGTTCAGATGCGAGGATCTGTGATTTGTTAAAGGGTATATTGCACTTGACAGGTTGCAGATGCTGCTTGATCTTCTTTGGCAGCTTGAAGTAAGTGTTGAAGAACGCTTCAAATCCTCCAAATCCACCCTGTGCTCTCTGAAACAAAGAGTTTCCTATGGCAGTTAATTGTTTCAGCTTAAACTTTGGTCAGGATTCCTGATTGATAAAGTATCTAGAAAAGCTAGTTTTCTATCTGCCTCTAACTCCATAGTGAATTGAATGCTAGGGTGTATGGAGTTAAGGTGATTTAAAAATGCAGAATCTTGATCTGTTGAGAGGATTGTGAAAGTATCATCTACATACCGCTTGTATAGCATGGGTGTGACAGGTGCCATGCCGAGCCTTCTCGAAGTCTTCCATGAAAATATCGGCGACAACAGGTGAGACAGGGGAACCCATCGCAACACCCTCCACTTACTTGTACATAGAAGTCATCCGCCCATAACAGGTAGCCAGATGTAAGGCAATGTTCTAGTAATTCTGCATATTCTACAGGCATATTATTTTCAAGTAGCTTCTTCTTAGTGATTGCAATGCAGTCCTGTACTGGTAGGCATGTAAATAAGGACTGAACATTAAAACTGTGGTTTCATTGTCCATGAGACGTTGATCTTGAATCTCATTGACAAATTGGTATGAATCTGTCACAAAAGCTGTTGTGTTACCTCTCAGTGGTGAAAGTAACTTTGCTAAGTGTTTAGCTAAACGGTATGTTGGTGAATCAATCTAGCTTACAATCGGGAGTAAAAGTAAGTATGTGTAGCCGAGCATTCGGTTTGTGTATATACGGTAACCCATACAGTTTTGGTGGTCTGGGAAACGTCAGATAAATAAATTAAATACATGGGTAAGGCTGCCGAAAAATGACAATTTTGATGGATGACTTAGCGTCCGGCACTTTTTTTAGGATAAATACAATAATACTACCATATTTCATTGTTTCCCTTGCAAAAAGTATAATTTTGCTAGTATTTTAAATACGCGAATTTCTGTAAAACTACTTTATTTTATTTAATTAAGTAGTTCTTACTGCGAGACTACAAATTTGCTAGAACAAATGAAAATGTCCCAAATGTTCCCCCATGTTTAATTAGAATTAATTATTAGGTTTCAGGTTGTTCCATCAGCAATATTAAAGTTTTCTTTAAAGAATCACCTATTTTAGGCAATGTTTAAATACTTTACGACAATATAGCTATTAAAAAAATAAATATTTTGGTATAATAACACCACATCCCAGTATTTAATGCTTTTATGTTACTAATTTTAAGTTATGATAATTTTTTCAATCATAAAGCAATTGAGCAGTAGAATCCGTTTTTAGTCATTGGCAACTTCATTATCTAACTTGTCTATGGTATGACAGTTGCTTGTCGGCCATTATTGAGGTGGTGTGTCAGTTAGTTTGGCCCGCATCGTGTTTTCGTTAAGTGGAAAAAAAAGTTTTTAGCTGATTTAAAGGTAAGTTTGTATCATTTTGATTAAATTGACAGATTATTGAGTAAATAAAATGTTTAAATTAGAGCTTTAATCTATGGACGTTGTTAATTATTCATCATAATGCCGTAGATTCGAGGTTTTTTTCAAAAGAGGTTACGGTTTTACGTTACTTTTAAGTTACTTATGTTACCATTGTTTTTTTTTAAGTTACGTAACATAAAAGTGATGTTAAGCCTAATGCACATTGGGAACTGTCGAACAAAGCCGAACGATTAAGTTATTAAATATTTACAAATTGAATTTTTCGCGAAACTACAAGGTACTTCAAAATGTGTTTAGAGTGTTGATTTTGTTTCCAATATATTCTTATACTTGGAATGTATCATATCATCGTATATAATTTTAATGTATCATTATTTATAATTATAATTTTACTAAGAATAAATTCTTAGTAAAATCATATTATTAATAAAATAATTATGAAAAAAGCTATGTTCAATTTAATTCAAAGGTCTCCCGCCGTAGATTTACGAACCGATGGCGTAGCGTTTGACTTTCACAAGAGCTTGTAACAGCCTAGACTGAATAAATGAGTTTGAGTTTGAGTTTAATATAATTTGTAATATATTGCTATTAAATATATATAATATAAAACTAGCTTCTGCCTGCGAAATTTTTATACTATCCCGCAAAATTGTACACTTTATTCGGGACAAACGGAAGCCTTTGTTATAAATCCAGTGCGTCATATGTCTACTTTCCTAGTTCTATCCAATTCCGTTCAGCCGCTGAAGCAGGAAAGGAGAACAAACACCCATACGTTGACCTGGTTGATTGAATGTTTGTTTCGCTTTCAGGCTTCAACGACTTTGGATAAAATTTGGTTGGCAGATATAAGAGGCACTGGAATAACACATAGTATATATACTATTATCCCAGAAAAAAATGTGGTTCCTATTGGATACTATTAAAAAGATTTGGATGTAACGGAATCTCCGTGCATAAAATCGCGGGTAGAAATTAGTATAAAAAAGAGATATGTTATGAGAAATTTGTTAAAATATTATCCCAGAAAAAATTGCGGTTCCTATTGGATACTATAAAAAAATTGGATATTACGGAATCTCCATGAATGAAATCGCGGGTAGAAACTAGTATAAAAAAGAGATATGTTATGAGAAATTTGTAAAAAAATGTTTAATATTTTATTATTATAAATAATGTACTATAAAATAATAATGTCATATTTTTTGCTGTGACAGATGCCACTCACTCCGGCTCAAAAACAAAAAAGATATCGTGAGTAACTTCAAAGAGAGAACCCAGAGAAATATGCACAAATGAAAAAGAAAACTGCAGAATGCGCTTTACGTTATTATAGAAAAAAAAATTGGTACATATACAGAACAGGATAAAGAAGAGAAAAGGCAAAAATGATAATGCACGAATTGACCTCAATGTTGGTAAAAAAGTTGAGAAAGAACAAATGCATGCCGAATCTAAGCTTCGTAAGGAAAATCACGAGATGAAAAGAGAAATATTTACATTGCGCAAGAAATTCGAAGCCTTAAGAAAAAAACATTACAGGAAATCAAAGAAATTGAACGAATTAAGTAAAGCATTCCAGGAGATTAACGAAAAATGTCAAGATATCACTAAAAGAATCAAAGAACAAGACTTTACAAAAAATGAAAAAAGTGGAGTGATAGATATTGACGATGAAACACCTATGAAACAAACAGAAAACTTCATAAATGAGAATTTAACAAATATTGACGCTTCTAAAATACAGATGGTAAAAAGGAAACTTTTGGAACACAATATTTTGTCGAAATCACTAAAGGAAGAATACAAAAAATCTGTTGGAATGGAAAAGAACACCTTGAAAAAAATTGTTACTAGTGAAATAGTGAAGAAATACAAATTAAAAAATAAATTGAAACATACACTGGGACTTAAAACTAACATTAGAAACAATAGAGACAGAAAAATAAGGAGAAACAAAATATTGAACGAAATCAATCAATTTTATAACAGAGATGATAATAGTCGTGCAACAGCAGGAAAAAAAGAGTGCAAAACTAAAAATAAAATAAAATTACAGAGAAGATATCTATTGGCTACTATAAAAAAACTACATGAAAAATATATTTCTGAAGGTGGAAAGGTTTCATTAAGCACGTTTAAAAAATATAGACCATTTAATATACTTACACCTAAAATCTCAGACCGTGAAACATGTGTATGGCGAAGAGGGAAACAAAAAGATATCAAACAAAATGGTAAAGGCGGAAAGAGAAGGATCTATACGAGATTTAATTAATGCAACTAATTCAGATATGAAAAAATTTCTTAGCCACTCATACAATATTTCACATCAATACAAAAATTATAAATTTTGCATAGCTAACTTGAGAGAAAACGAAACTGGCATACACATAGATTTTTCCGAAAATTATGTTTGCAAGATGCATACAGAAATACAAGCCATGCACTTCGGATCATCTAAGGTTCAAATCACTCTGCACACCGGTGTACTTTACATCAAAAATGAACATAAATCCACATCATTTTGTTCAATATCGCCAGCAAATATACATAGTCCCGAGGCCATATGGGCTCATTTAAAACCAATACTATTATATTTGAAAGAAACATATCCTCAAGTAAATACTATACATTTTTTTTCTGATGGCCCGACATCGCAATACCGCAACAAAAAGAATTTTTATTTATTTAGCCAAAAGTTTCGGTTTTAACCATTCTACTTGGTCTATATTTGAAGCAGCTCATGGAAAAGGCGCTGCTGACGG